AAAAGTCACATGCAACCCACCGAGGTATAGATAAAAATGTTTCCTTGGTAATAAAAACGTGCCCTGCGAAAAATTTTTAAAAACGGACAACGGAAATACGTGCCCTAAAGTTCAGTCAGTAGGAAACTTAATATATTTTAATGTCACTTGATAAATGTCGATTAAAACAAAGAGATTTTGTTTACTTTCGAACACGATTTCATGTGTTGAATCAAATCGGTATTTTTTAATGCGGGTTTTGGGTAGGTACATATAAACAAGATAACAGAAAAACTAGTTATGTAGATTTTCGGACTTAGCGAATGATACATGGGAATTGTATGGTGTGGTATTGCCTCTACATATTAAGGTGATGTAATATTATGGCAGATTTTATTACAAGAACTCATCACAGGGACAATTCATCACAGCATTATTCATTACATGAACATTTCATTACAGGGACAATTCATCACAGAATTATTCATTACATGACCATTTCATTGCAGAGACAATTTATCACAGAATTAATAATTATACGTGCATTTCATCCCAGTGTTATTTATTCGATGGAGATTCATTCAATATTTTGTGTTTGGTGTTAGTGTTTGGTTAATATCGTTTCGCTCTGTATTTTTTTTAGCTACAGTTCCTGTTGAACTATGCTGATACCTGTGCCCCTTTCCTCTTACCATTATTGTGCCTTATTTCATAAGTTAGCAACTGTTTTTATCGTATTCGTGCATAGAATTGCTCCTTCCCCACCAGTACCCCGCTAAAAACTCAGCGGGTTGCTAACTTTTTGTCAATTCCCTTTGTGCTTATATTTATTCGGTTGACTCTTTGCGTTGTTGTTGTTGCACACTGCAATTGCATTACATTATGCTTTATCACAATACTGGCGAATGGCAAACTTCGCCGAATTTGGCGATGCATGGCCGTCCACCCAAGGCGAATTTTATATAAAGTGGTAGCCAAGGCGAATTAATATAAGGTAATAGCAGGAGGACAAAAACAAAAATTTACATGTATTTTGTTTTGCTTTGGCGGCATAAACTGTCAAAATCTGTAAGAGTGTGTGTAGAAATTCAAACAAAATTTTTCAATTTGATATCAGAAGCCGTGCGGCGAAACACATACACAAAATCAGCTGAGCTAGTAACACCACCTTATATAAATTCGCCTTGGTGGTAGCGGCAGCCCAAAAACAAAAACTACACAAACAAAGTAGAAGCACATTAGCAATCATTACAAAACAAAATTACAGCAAACACATCATGTTGACAAACATAACGAATTCGCCTTGAAATCAGCAGCACCGGTAACCAGCGTTGCCAGGTTGACGTTTTTAACGTCATTTGGACGTTTTTTATATCCTGTTGACGTTTGGACGTTTTTTGTCTAAAAAATTAGGTTTTTTAACTTCCCAGTAATATTTCTTTGTTACTAAATCTTGTAAGTAGAACTGATTTTGAATTATTTTCTTAATAAATCTTTACAAGCTTTGTTTTTTGTAGCAGATGCTCAAATATATTTATTCTTTCGACACAGATGACTTAACCCTTATTTAAGCGCATAAAGAAAATGACACAATTAGTCGCATGGGGCCCCTTATTGAAAATGTAATGAACGTAAAAAGGCTGCTATTGCTATGCTATTGCTACGTTCCTTCTTAACAGAACGTAATTTAGCTTTTTCGACAACAGACCACTTATTTATTAACAAGAAGAAAAAAAAATATATCAAAAATCAACGCGATTCTTTAGCACCTTAAAACTTACACATTATTGCCCTGGAATTTAATGGGCATCAAAAAAAATCTGAATAATCTGAGTAAAAAGTTGAAAATCTAGCTGATATTTTGCCAATTTTTTATAATTTTTGCACAAAGTTTGAAATGTGGATTTATATTTTGTTTGTTATATAATGAGCTAGGCTTTTATGGAAAAATAATAAACATTAAATAAACAAAAAAGAAACAGCCGAGATTGATGACTTAATGAGCTGATGACAAGTGTATGTATAAAATGATTTTTATATTAACGATCTCAAACCAGTTTGGAATGAATTTTCAATGTGAGCAAATGACATTTTAATATACCTTACGTACATATGTACCTTTGTATACAATGCAAGTTTAATAAGAACAATTCTTTGTGCATACATTTGAAAAAGACGTTTTTGGGTAGAAAATGACGTTTTTTCAGGCCAAGAGGGACGTTTTCTCATGCCGAAGACCTGGCAACACTGCCGGTAACACTCCCTTATATGAATTCGCCTTACGTTCACCGTTTGCTCTGCTATTTCGCCTACTTAAACAGAATTAAGCTGATGCCAGATGAAACTTTGTAGCTTTGCGTGATGTTTATTACTTTGCCAGCAAAGCGCCAGACGCAAAAGGTATGCCACAATGAACGCCAAGAAAACAATTTTGTGCTGCTATTTTACTCGTCAAAATTGCAGTGGATTTTGTATATTTTGCTTTAAAAATATCAGCTATGTGATTAAGTTTTATGTTTCTACATGAAAACTCGAATTTGGACGAAGCAAAATAAATATTAAACCGGCTGATTGTCAAAGCGCGCAAACAGATGGGAGTTGGCCATCTTTTCGCTTCGCGCTGCAGCTTCAACGATCTATGTGGCATGCTTTGTGCATTTTTATACAATTCATCTTATCTGTCAAAGCGAATCTGTCACGTAAAGCGCAGCAAAAGTTTTATGTGGCATCAGCTTTAAAGCTGTAGCGAAAACAGCTGATACCATTTTGTCCCTTTTATAATTTGGGTGACCATTAGCGTGGGCCGAAAATCCGCTTTTTTAGAATTTTGATTGGTAAAAGCAAAAATATGGTTCATTATGCTCTAAAAACAATCTGTGTGAAAGATGACAATTTTTGGTCAATATCTTAGGCTTGCCCAAGTCCATTAAAGTTCAGTGTGCTCAAAAAATAAAAATTAATTAATACTTTTTTTTAAATAAAATTGCAAGTATATTCGAAGGTATTAGTCCTACATAATGAACCATACTTTTGCTATTACCAATCAAAATTCAAAAATAGGGGACTTTCGGCCCACGCTAGTGACCATATGTAGAAAAAGCGAAAACAGATTAAAAATGAGGAAATCATAACCAATATATATATAAAAGAAAGATAAATTATTATAAATTATTTTTTTATATTAAGCCAGATTTAACCAATCGATAACTATATTGTGCAACCAACAAAAATAATTCGTGCTATATGTTGTGTTCTTCTAAAATTTTGAAAGCAAAAAAAAAATATGGGCACCTTTGGCATGTACAGCCGTCATCGTCCAGCGGGGCAATAGAAATAAATCTATTCCCCAAAGCGCCGCCGAGCGAATTTCGCATTTCGCTTTGGCTGTGTTCAAATTGACATGGTTACGCGCGTTCTAATTTTGAAAGCGGGAATTTCGCTGTGGTGAGTTCGCCGGCTCGTAGCGTTTCTGAGAAATCTAATTAAAAACGAAAGGATAACAGCCAAAAATTTCTCAAACATCTCTTCCCTATTTATACTTTCGCCACTGTATGCACATGACTAAATAAATATGTTTGTTTTTGACTGTTAAATCCAGTATTTGTGGGCTTTCTCTTTGAACATTTTTTTCTATTCATGTTTTTTTTCAATTGATCTTAATTTTATTCTAACAATTTTTATATCGATTGACACTTGTTGGTTTCTTTAAATCAACCTCAGATGAATTTCAAATGTAAAATTTAAACCTCGTTTACAATTTGAGAATCGTTTGAGAAAAACATTTTATATGCTTGTATCGAAATCCTGTTTTAAGCATTGACTTGCTTTTATTGAAATCCGTTCTGTCGTTGATGTTATGTTGTGGTGATGTTCATAAAAAGTAAATGAAATAATAGAAACAAACTAGAAGTGGGTAAAAATTTCAGCTGATTTTTTAAAAATCAGCATGTTGTAAGCGTCGTAAAACAATTTTAACTTTACTCACATATTTGTATTCGTACGTCCTATTATAATCTATAATGATTTTTATTTTTCGAGTTTGACAAATAAAAATCAAAAGTAATAACACTGGATCACAAATTTTAATTTTGAGTTTGTTCTCCAGATGCCACTATCCAATTTGTACGTAGAACCGCTCGCTGATTCCGAAAATCGAGTTAATTTATTTTTGTATGGATACGTTTTTGATATATTTGCAATTTACCGTTATTGAGCTTAAAAAAAAGAGTGGTTCCACTTAATCAAGTATATCTCTTTAATTAAATAATCGTAATGCGAGATATAGTAAATGAAAGAAAATAGTCATTATTTTTATTCGATAAAAATCGATTTTTATTCGTTAAACTCGAAAAATAAAAATCATTATAGCTGTAATTAAATTATGTAGTAATGAATTTTGTCGTACTTAATTACGTTGTAATAAAATTTGCTGTGATGAATGGTCCGGTAATAAAATGGGGTAATTAATTGTGCCATAATAAGTAGAGGTACGATCGTACACCGTCTCCAAAAGAGTCACAACTCAAAATAATACGTTTGTCAGAAAATGCGAAAAACTATTTCTTAGCACATGATAATCATATGGACAAGGGAGACTTTACCTAAGGTTTTTTTGCTCTGCGTACATTTTTAGCGCATAATCTAAAAAATGCCAAATTTTGAGTTGTGACTCCTTTGAAGACGGTGTGCGATATGTATAATTAATCCCTTTTCACTACTTTTCTATTATTATTTAGTCATAATTGATGATTGTTTTCTGAGAAGACACAGGTTAAAGACTTGTAAACAAAAATCAGAGTTGTTATGTTCAGAATAATAAGTTAAAAGTCTTAGTACAAAAAATATACAGCTTTTATAGAGAGACAACGAAAAAATGCAAAATTTCTACAAAATTTCCGTTGTTCCTCCTTAATCAATTCTTGATTCCATCAATTATTCTCAAATCGGCTTTAGATTGTTCATTAATATGTTTATTTAAATCATTGTACCATTCTTTAATATAACGTCTTTACTATTTACAGCAAATGGTCCGATAGGCGCCGATGGTCATATTGGAACATCAAACATTCCTGAAACAATAAACGGCACAACCATTGTTGGTGGAATCAATCAACAAAAGACAGCAACTAATACGACTACACAAAAGCGGCCGCAAAGACGAGGGGCGAAACCACAACCTGACCGACCTCAAAGAGTTTTATTCTGTTTAGGATTAAAAAATCCACTTCGCGGCTTATGCATCAACATAGTTGAATGGAAGCATCCTTTTTTAATTACCAGGAGAGGATATAATTTTTTCGGCTAAACACGCATCACTAGTTTACTGGTATTAAACTAAGGAAACGTAGATAAAAAAGTTGTAAAAAATAGGGAGTTCACAGTGAGTTGTATACTGTCGTCATCAGAGGCGTTAAAAATACTTTTTAAATAACATTTAAATACAAAATACAAATGCGTCACAAAAAAGTATATAAACTACTATTACAAAAAGTATTTAAATTCAAAATACAATACATTTGAAAATAATTTAGAAATCCCTCCTACAAACAAAAGGCCGTAACTATCCAGCCAGAACAATATCCGGAAACGTATCCGAAAATGAAAACAATATCGTATAAAAACCTGATGTTTCATCCGTTTTCCGATTCCGTTTTCGGACGTTTTTCGGATCAATTGCCCCTTAAAGTGTTCTGCCGAAACGTATGTGCAGAAAACTATCGAAAATGGTTGTAAAACGGATGCGCTTTCGGCTGTTTTCCTGAAGTTTGTCTGATTCAATTTTTCGTTGAAAACGATTTCATTATGAACTTCACAGAAACTTCTTCATAGTTACTGGAAACCAAACAAAAAACAATTTTAAGATTCAGCAATTATTTCAATTTGAATAAATAATTTTAATGTGTTGCTTCTGACGGAATTCGAACCTAGGACCCCCTGAAAGCTAACAAATAGTAGCACACTTCTCTGTACACTCATGTTATCAAATGCTCAGTTTGAACAAATATTTTAAAATTATTGTTTTGAAATGAGATGATGACATTTTTCGGATACGAAAAATTAACAAATATGGAAATCGTTTTCTGAACGTTTTTCGGAAAAAAGTACGTTTCTCTGCTGGCTGGATAACAGAAGCTTCAAAAATTCTTTATTTTTCAATGTTATTGTGGCTTATTAACATTTTATTTTTAATATTTTTATTGAGCTTTGTACCGCTATTGTTTATTAGGAAAAATTGAAAAAGCAACAAAGTCTAAGCGGTAGAAGTTATAGCAGCTATTTCGAAGATCACCACGTCTCCTCATCAGACTTCTTTTTTCTGGACTTCGGCAGGGATCGAACCTGCGTATTCGATGTGCAAAGTCAGAAGCGTTAACCACTGAGCTATGTACACCCCGTAAACTCTTGTTGCTATTTAATTTTCCTTATTCAACCAACTACTATCAAGTGCAGCTGATTTGCCGCTATTTAAACTCGACAGCGTGGTTGTTGTCAATTCTATACACCCATTTGCTTATTTGCTTTTTTGTATAGTTTCAGGCAAGCTCTTCCTAAACTATGTACAAGAGTTTACGGAGTGTACATAGCTCAGTGGTTAACGCTTCTGACTTTGCACATCGATTACGCAGGTTCGATCCCTGCTGAAGTCTAGAAAAAAGAAGTTTGATGAGGAGATGTGGTGATCTTCGAAATAGCTGCTATAACTTCTACCGCTTAGACTTTGTTGCTTTTTAAATTTTTCCTAATAAACAATCGTGGTACAAAGCTCAATAAAAATATTAAAAATTCTTTATTTGTTGCAATGAAAAAGTGAAGAAAGAGAATGAGTAAATTGGTAATTTGTTTATTGCGCTTCGTATGACCTTCTTACATTTTTGATAACCCAAAAAGGAGATTTTCAAATTAAAAAAAGGAATGACAGTCTTGTACAGCAAAACTTTATGATATGACAAATAATGAAGAATAGACCGAGTATTTCAAAATACGTAAGTATTTTAAATTCAAATACGAAATATTCTTGTAAAAATGTATTTAAATACAAAATACAATTACGCATTTTATAATTTGTATTTGAAACGCTTAACATCACTGGTCGTAATGTTGTACATCGTAAAGTTTTGGAACTTCGTTAGTAATGTTATGAAAATACGATCTATAACAATATGAGAGCATACAACATTTTGTGAAATCCCTAAAGCAGCATTTACATGTGGCGATTTTGTAAGCGATTCAATGACGCCTTAGAAGTTGCTTTCACTTAGGGGAACACGATTTTATCTCTTTCTAAAAATATAAACACAATTTACAAAGGGGATTTTGTGGAAAGCGATGGCGAATCGCTTAGAAAAGCGCCTTGTGGGTCGTTGAAAACAAACATGATACTGATAGCGAAATACTACAGAACCCATTGGCAGGTATAATACGCACATCACCGTAAAGCCGGGCAGCCAACTGACTTGTATACTGTCCCCGAATTTGCCGCGAAATCTCTCCGATTTTGTACGAAATTTCCCGCTTCAGATTCCAAATATTTAAAAAAATAACAATAATAATTACTAGGTGCTTACATATATCATGGTCATTAATATTTAAAATATATTAGGTCATAAATTACTTTACATTTTGTTTTTGAACTCTCCACCTCTAAAACTCGTTTATCCCTTTGGATAAAAATTGTGCCGCAATTTGGGCTAGCTAATGAACCATTTTTTTAAAAGCCACGTATGCGTAATGCCAACATATTTAACCTAAAATTATTTATTTTTTTTTAAACTTATATTTCGCTTCTTTGAGCAATCTGAAATTCTTTTGACAGTAATAGACCTAATAATTGAAAAATTTTTATGTTCCAACAAAAACTAAAAGTTCAGGAATTCTATGGTAAATATTTATAAAATAAATTAATGTCTAATTTCTTGCAAAAATCAGCCCATTCGCTAATCGGGAAGGAAAGGAGAAATTTTAGGCAATAAGTCCACAAGGGTCTTGAAAAAGTTTTATTTTGCTTATATGCATTTTGAAAACGTTTCTTTGGTAAAAGAAATTGGTATAATTTTTAAAGACTCCAAGAAAAGTATAACATAAATTTTGAAAATAGACTTAGAATTGTCAAATTACGTGCAT